CCCAAATCATTTCTGACTTCCATGACGTTTCCCACCTGGGACAAAGACACTCCTTCACAGCACCATGACAACCAAACCAGCGACACAAGCACTTGGGTTTATACAGGAAAATGAAAATCCTGAAAGGAAGCTAGGAGATAAAGGCTTACTATTCCTTGTTTCCCACTGGTAGGAAGTAATTACAAAAATTACTTTAACACAATGCTTCTGGTGAATGAATAGTTTGTAATTTGAAGGGAGAAGCCTAAGGGCCTAGGGATTAAATAAAAAATATGAAAAGCTGAATGATGTCATTACAAGTACAGCCCCCCCTCCCCATCAATCAACTGCCTAAAGTAAATCCCTTCATGATGACAATGCAAACATTCTTAAGAGATAGTCAGGGGTATATTTTGTTTTTTATTTGCCTTTAGACAAATGATTGATTAATAGTGGAGGTGTACCTTACAACTCTTTAATATTTTACTAACCATGGTGTTACCAATTAAAATTTCAAAAATAGAATCAAATACAAAATAAATTTTTGTCCAAACTAAAGATGCCAAAAATGGATGTGATTTCTACAACTCCAGGGCAGAAATCAGAAAAAGAAGCATAATTCTCCCACCATGATAGACAAGTTTCTTTATCATAAGCATGCTAAGTTTACATTTGTAGTTCAATGAAAACAATGGTGGTCCTTTGCCAGAAACTGACAGTGCTATGTGTTATAAATACCTGCCTATTCTGCACAAAGAAGAGACTATTAACTATACTGCCAAATGTAAAACTGTTTTAGGTCTTATTCTTGAAAGAGTAAATTCTAAAGATTAGCACCGCATCAGTGATTTTACTAGTCAGTTCAATATATTTTTAAACAGCTCTTCACATGTTTTCATATTACAAAAACAATACTTCCTTATTAAGAATTAAGAAAAAAAAATCTGTCCCTTCTCAGCCTTTTGGCTAAGATCAAATGTAGTATCTGTTCTTATCAGAAAAAAAGAATTTGTGCTATATATGATAGATTGAGGGTTTTTTGTTGTTGAATCGTACCATATTATATATTAGCTCGACGGGTTAAAAGCTATGATTTTTACTGGAAACCCACATGAATATTCTTAGGGAATAAGGAATGGAAATAGATGTTTACATTTGGTTAACTGAAATAGCTCAGGGTTTTTGAGTGTGATAGAAGCATAATTTTTGTTTTGTTTCTAGTTTTATTTTTGCTTTGGGGGACATAATGTCCTCCTTACCTATAGCAAATATCTTTCATGGACTCCCAGTTCTGTGCAATGTACACCTTCAGACTCTCAGTGATACATCTGGAATTGAGAGAACAGAAGGCAAGCAGAGACATTCCAAGCATCCACAAGCCAATACCTGCCACCTGACTCCTAAGCTAATCTCTGTCCATGACTATACAACATGCACGTAAGACCACTGATACATTTACTCTGAGACATAATTATGAAAACACACTATGTATTTTTTAATTTACTTAGTGTTCCGACAGATCTTTGAATTTGAGCTACCCCAAATTTTATCCACTCATCCTACATCAAGCCTATTTCTGTTTCTCATTTTTATATACATGAATTGTTCTGGAAAGAGAATTCTCTAGTCTTCTAATTTGAGTTCTGAGTCATCTTTGATCTCTCTCTCTCTCTCTCTCTCTCTGCCTCCCCTCCCAACATTAACATCACAAAAATCCCATCAGCTTTACTTCAATCTCTATCCAATTTGCCTTCATCTCTCCACCTCACTACTACTTTTCCTAGTTCAGGTCCTCATCATTTTTAACATAAAACCCTTGCAGCAATCTACAGAACTCAAATCAACAGCTGTTCTGAAGACCTAAACTGCCAAAGCAAAAAAATATAGCCAGGCAATTACTGTGATAACTAGTGAAATATAGGGGCCCTACTGATGAAACCACGTAGGTCAGAAATGGCTTGCTTATGATCAAAACTCCTCCTGATAACTTGCTGTCAGAGACATTTACGAAGACCATGAATCAAATGCATTTCATTTTAAGTCTTAGTTTAAGTATTTTATCCCTCTTCCTATAACTCATTAAGAAAGACTTCATATGTCGCCTAAAATAACATCTTGAATTGATCCAGAAAATGCACTATTTTTTATGGTACTTTAGTTTTCATTTTTAAATCAATACACCTTTCTAATCCTAGAATCTGTTGAATTTTACATTTTAGAATGATGGAATACATTATAAAAATATATGCTTAATTTATACTTGGAAAGTATTTAGTCTATGAAAAAGCTTGGCTACTAGTCCTGTGATCAAGAATTAAATGAAAAATTAAAAGCTATAGTGTCATACTTAAAGTTCTGAATCTGAGTCTCTTTTTATGCTAGGGAAGAGAGTTACACATCTAACATATACGGTTATAACTTAAGGCTCTCAAAAGGAGGTAAATTGATATTATCCATAACTCAATTCAATCAGAACTTCATAAATTAGAAAATAAAAATCATTAAAGTCATATTAAGCTGTATCATGGAACATTCTAATAGAACTGAGTGGTTCTATTTTGGTTCAAGTTTTAAGGTAATTGAGAATTAACAAAAGAACTCTTTTTACTTTGACCCATGACCACCAAAACCTTCCCAAAACGTATTACTATAGTTTGTGGCCTACTTTTACTATAAGACCATCTTCTATTCGTGATTGAAAGACTCAAAATAAACAATCTTCAGCTCTGATGACTGAGTGTACCGATGTGGATGCTACCAGAATTGATATTTTTAATGACTTCCTAAAATAAAGTTCCAAATTTTCTTAATCCCATCCAACTCTTTTAAATTCATATACCCTGATTATTATTTTTCCCTATTATATCATCTAAAAAACAATAGGCATTCAACAAAATTTCTTGTAATTTCCTTATTTTCAAGAAAAAAATAATCTTCTCTCCTTCCTGTGAATATCAAACTAATGAAAAGTACCAGGGCTGACATTTACAGAAATAGATACCTTCAGGAACTGAAACGGAGTAATAGGATGCAGGTTGGTGAAACTATAGTTATGACAGATGGAGGAAGTGGGGGACATCCATAGTAACTGATGTTTTTTTCAGTTCTATACAATTCCATAAAACATGGGCTACGCTTTTCTAAAAGATATTTAACGATTGCCTCAAAAAAGATATTAGATATTAAAAATATGCAACAACTTACAGAAAAAGCACTGTATCCTACGATCTACCCTTTGACATAACCAGTCTTCTGATTTAGGATGACATTTTTTTAAAACACGAAAACGCAAATGAGAATTAAAAGTTATATATTTAGGGCCGAGCCTGTGGCGCACTTGGGAGGGTGCGGCGCTGGGAGTGCAGCAGCGCTCCCGCCGCGGGTTCGGATCCTATATAGGGATGACCAGTGCGCTCACAGCACTCACTGGTTGAGCGTGGTGCGGCCAGTCTCAAAAAAGGACAAAAAAAAAAAGAAAAAGTTATATATTTACAACATGAAGGTAAACAATGTCTAACTGTTCCAATTGAACAAAACTCCCAACAAGCAAAAAAGATATTTAATATTAATAGTTAATAAAATAACAGCTAGCATTTATTGGGCACTATTGCTGTCCAAAGCTACACTCAGCAATTTGCATATATTATGTCTAATATTTATTACAATTGGGCAATGTATTTTAATTCTCTATTCACAAATAAAGAAATTGAGGCTCAGAAAGGTTAAGTACCAATCTAAGGTAACAGAACAATGTGTTGTTGCAGAGCTGTTATTCATACCATGTCTAATGGCAAGGCTCATTCCTTTTCTATTACACCACAGTGACAACATAAGCTAGGCATACATTTCATATGACTACATTTATTAATACAGTTCTATTATTTGAAATCAGAAATTTCTCAAAAAAATGTTCAGGCTGTGTTAACTCTTAATTTATCTAAAATTGTTCTACTCCATTACTACAGCATAGTAAGGGAAGCTGGTGGCATCTGAAAACCAAAATAATTACTAGGTAGCAAATCTCAAAAGAAAATCTAGAAGACAAAATATTACTAAATTAAGATTATTTATATCCCTGACATTTCCCTCATAGAAATTTCCTCATCCTTAATTCAGAAAGTTGGTCTAACAAAAGTAATACAGACTTTTTGAGTTTTGGTAAAAAAATACTGATACTCAAATTTCCTTTCTTCTTCATAAAGAAAACTTCTATACATAAGTTATAAGAATATCTCAATATCAGGTTACTTTCATATTTCATTAAAACAAATAAAAATAGAAAACCTTCATGTATCAAAATTTACTTGACTTTAGTGGTTCCAGCCTACATTAAAACAAAATCCTACAAAAGAATTTGACTCGTCTCCTATAAAGTTTTGAAAAATAGAACTTAAAGTCAAAGGGCATAATTATTCTCAAATATAATCTATCACACTGCTCTTTAAACAAAACACAGCTCTTTGCCTTGTCAATATATCTCACTTAAAAAGTGTTACAATATGGGCCAGCCCGGTGGTGCACTCGGTAGAGTGCGGCACTTGGGAGCGCGGCGGGGCTCCCGCTGAGGGTTTGGATCCCATATAGAGACCGGTCCGCTCACTGGTTGAGCGCGGTGCGGGGCGACACCGAGGGTTGCGATCCCGTTACCGGTCACGAAAAAAGACAAAAAGGAAAAAAAAAAGTGTTACAATAATATTAATAATGCATAATTTTGACACTTCTGATAAGCACAATTTTCAAATTTTAACATAAGCTAGAGAAAAAATAGTTTAATGTAAAACTTTTACAAGAAATCATAAGTAAACATATCAGGGATATAATAATGCACTGTAATAAAATCTTATCTATAACATATACTCTTCTATGCATTTTTTAAAAATTCAAGTCATATTTCATGATTTATAAATATAAACTTCCTTTGCTACCTCCACATTATACAACAGCACATCACCATCACATTCTCTAATTGATGGGAAAATTTTTTCATCATATCTTAAAATTAAATTTACGATTAAGTCTTGTCAAAGATGCCTACCTCTGTAGTGGAAGTCTTTGGACATGTCGATGGGACCCCGTCCTACTGCTGATCTCTTGTAGACAACGTGAATCCTTCCTTTTTCTTCCTCCATCTGCTTTCCTCTTTCCAAGGGTTCAATGAAATACTCCTCATTGTCACTTTTTATCATTCCGGCCTAGAGAAAGCATAAAATGTGTTAATTTAAAAAAGAAATATCATCTTTAGCTCACCTGTACATCTTTTTAAATGGCAAGTATATAAGTTGTGAAAACTAATGTTTTTTCTTTCCATGTTCAGCTATAAGTTTAAAATGGTAAAAAGCTATTATTAAGTATCAATAATTCATATAAGGTCGAAATTCGTTTATGATAAGAATGAAAAAAATCAAATAGGGTAGAATACAAAATTTATGTAAGAATAAGAAAATCATACAATGTATACATTTCATCAAACTGCAAAACAAGTGCATTTATATATTCTCCTCAGTATTTTATCTTTAAAAAAAATCTTATGGGACACATAAACTCATAAAAAATCTCTAATTTCTCACAGTGACCCATCGTGGAGCTGCTGTTCATGCATGGTAAGTTTTTCCTTAACTCATTTACATCTTCCTCCCATAGCACTATGGTACGAGAGGAATGAGTTTCATACTGCACTCAGTACATAAAGAGTTATTTCTAACTTTAAATGGCCTCTTTAAGCTTCTGTAGGAACCCCACATTTCTAACATTCATAAATATTTGTCCTCTCTTAATCTAACTTCATGATTATATATATATATTTTTTTTTTCCTCCTCAAGTTGCATCCTCTCACACTGAAAAACCTATCCTTTCATTCAATTCCTTCTACCTCTCTATTTATTGCCTTTTTCCAACTCTGTTTCCTCTTTTGAGTATTCAGAAAACACTGAGGATTATCCAGTACTGTAGGTGAAGACAAATGATGGTTTTGTCTAAAATGTGCTCTTCCTAAATTATCAGGTCCACATTACAATCAAGTAGTTACAGCTCATATTTCTACTTTAAATGTCATACATTCTGATACATATGATATGTGGTATTAATTAAACTATCAGCACATTTATTTGAAAACAAAATTAAATAAAACGTGTCGGTGTGAAAATTGTAATTATTTTGAAAATACATCTCAGATTTATAGGCAGGTTGTATTTTTTTTCTGAGGCCTTTAACTTATTCTACATTTTCACAGATGAGGTCACTGGCTGTCATAGAAAATAGGCAAGGGAGGGATTTCTTATCCCTTACAACTGCTGGTCTAATATCTCTGCTATTATGGTGTTAAACAACATAGAAATAAAAGGTAGGTGCTCCTTACCAAAAAGTATATGTTGAGCAAGTATGCCTCTGACTGTAGGTTTTCTTCTTCATTCAAATCTGTCCCCTCCTTTCCATTCTGATTTCTACCACCAGGAATGCTCTTCCCCTTCTTCCCCTTTGTAAGTCTCACAGGGAATTCTTAAAAGCTACAGCATCCACAAATGCCCCTTCTGTACCCACCTTGATGCTGTGCACTTTCAAACAGCCCTTGAATCTATGGGACCATATCTTGCAAGAAAATATGACCACAGCTGTTCCACTATACTTGATCTTTACCATCTGGAACAAACTTGTATCCTTCACTTAAAAGAACATTGAGCTAGTGGGTGTTCAATGATAATGCCAATCTTTCAGACACACACTCCAATATTTGGCATTTTTTCCTCATCTGGCTAATTACTTTTTACCTCCTCCTGTACTATGAAATGCACAGTACTATTCACAAGTAGAATGATCAATTCTTCCTTCTTCAGAGTTGTCCCTACTACCAATGAATTCGTCTCCTCTACGAATATAATTTCCAACATTTCTCCTATGTTTTTCAATTTTCAACAGCATGACCATATTCTTATATCTCTCATTACCAGTAATTTCAACACTCACTGCTTTTGCCCTTGTCAGGCATGGATGGGTCAATACTGCCCATAAAACACATCCAAACTAGACACAAACACAGTAAACATATAACAAGTTAATACAGCAGCACCGTTTCCAAAGCTAAAATGTTCTGTCCTTTCACTAACACCATCTGTTGGTAGCAGAAAGTATTACCTGGCTTTATCTTAGAAACATAGGTCTGTTGATATATATAAGTTTATATGTTGAAGTTCATCAGCACGAAAATTTCAGTATTCATCTTTAATCCAGTCTTTTCTTTGCCCAAATCCACTGAGTTGCCACGTTCAGTAAAGTCCTCTTACATGCTGCTCCCATCCTTCTATTTCCACTGACACTTCCTTACATACCTCATCAATGTTCATTTGGATTACAGAAATTCCCTATCTTGAGGCTTTCTGTAGGTCATAATTCTCCCAGATGAGTGCCTGGCTGTGGGTGGGAACAACGCCACTGAGGCAGTCAGAAACTCTGAGAAATAGGCAATGGCTGTTGGGGTCACTTGAAAGTGATGGGGAGGTCGTGAGGATTAGCCCACATTTTTCCATACCTCTTACGGCAAACATTCAAATTCCAGGCCCAACAAAGTTAACTTTCCCCCACTAGGCCACAGGTAGAACAAAATTTAACACAACTAAACATCTCCCTTAGCAAAAAAATTTAAGTCAGGTGTGGCAGTATCAATGACAAGGCAAGAGCTGAGTCACATGGCCTCCAGTAATTCCATGGGCAGGAAATCTGGGAATCTGCCCTCGTATTCATTCATTAAAGCAAGGCTTAATTTTTTAAAAGTACCTTATATAAATCACTGTACTAGACACCATAGAAAATAAAAAATTTACAAAGACATAGTTCATTTGTCCTCCAGCTGATTAAATCTAGTCAAATAAATAAAATACATGCCTAAAAGTATTCAATGAAGCATGCTATGGAAAGTCCACAAAGAAAGTGGCATGGCAGCTGAGAGTCAAATCAAATACAATTTGTTTTCCTCCACAATCTCACTAGACACAGCAAACCAACAGTAGGAGCTGTTGATTCTTTAATCAAATATCTATTTCAACTGAAATCTGCCTAGTCAGCATCACAGTAAACCTTCACTTCAGCCACTGCTGTTGTTCCCACTTCCCACATCCTCACACAGCACAGCAGCCAAAATTGCCTTTCAAACTATTGAACTAATTTAGACAAACTAGGATGTGGTAAACATAGAATGTAAAGGCTCAAAACATCAGGTGCTTCTTCTGTCACATAAAGGCTCAGGATGGTTCTAGGTCAGCCAAGAGAGGTTTCTGCTCCACACAGCCATGCAGGGGCCATGCTGACAGTGGCTCTGCCATTTCAATTTCAAGATGTTTAGTTGTGTTAAATTTTGTTCTACCTGTGGCCTAGTGGGGGAAAGTTAACTTTGTGTGGCCTGGAATTTGAATGTTTGCCACAGGAGGTATCTCCATTTTTTTCAAAATTGTTTTTTTTTTCCCAAATTGTTTTAAAATTTTTTTCCAAATTGTTTTAAAAGGCATGTGGGCTAATTCTCACAGCCTCCCCAAGTTTGCCCAGTCATAAGGGTGGCCTGGAATTTGAATGTTTGCCACAGGAGGTATCTCCATTTTTTTCAAAATTGTTTTTTTTTTCCCAAATTGTTTTAAAATTTTTTTCCAAATTGTTTTAAAAGGCATGTGGGCTAATTCTCACAGCCTCCCCAAGTTTGCCCAGTCATAAGGGGAAACTGCATGAGGAGGTCCACAGGGGAGATTTTTATGAGCTAGCCCTAGTCGTGGCATTCACAATTTCCAACTACTTCCATGGGTAGCATACAGTACCTGGCTCACAGCCAACTGTAAAGAGGCCCAGGAAATGTAATCAGGCTGCATGCCCAGGGAGAAGAGACAAATGGATCCTGGTTTTCAGATGGAAGTCTCAACCTCAAATAAGATCATTTCACTCCTTCACTTAAAACACTTTAATTGCTTCGCATTGCACTTAAAACCACACTCACTATATGGCTTTCAAGGCTCTGCATCACCTGGCCCTGCCTACCAACCTCAAGTAGTGCCATTCTCACTGTACTCACAAGGCCCAGCCTAGGGGGCTTTGTTTGGTTTTATTTTTCCTTTGATATCTCCAAGCTCCTGATAGCCTCAGGCCTTTGGAATGCTATTCATTCTGCTTAGAAGACCCCACTTCCACCACGCCACACTTCCCTTAGCTAGCTACTTTTTATTCTCCAAATCTCAGCTTAAATGTTACCTCCTTAAAATTATTCATTTACTCCCTCACTCCAAAAAAATTAGGTATCCCCATTTAAATTAGGGCCCATCTTAGCCCACCATTCTGACTTAAAGCAATGTGTTCTTTCCTCTCATGGCCCTTAACACAAATTTCAGGGTTGTATTTACCTAAATGTTAAATTTATTCTTCTCTGACACATCCCTGCCAGGGAACTGTTAGCTCCTGAGATAGCTGTGTTTGCCTTAATGCATCTTTGAATAATCCTTACACACCATCACAACTGCTGGCACGAAACATGCATTCAATAAATTTTTGATTTAAAAAAAGTACAAAAGCTCATGGTACATATGAGGTACACACACACTATTCATTCAGAGAAGTGTCTGTGTATGGTTGCTCTGGCAACAAGGCTGTGGAGGACTTGTACTAACTTGAGTCTGAACTTTAACATGTAGGAATGGAGAACGCCCCCCCAAAAAAAAATTGTTGACCAGATAGACTAGAACAAAGTGCTATTTTCATGTTTATCTGATGCTTAAGTGCCAGATGGGAGAAAACACTGGAAAACAAGCAGGAAAAATGCTAAAAAGAAAAGGGAAAAGAGAAAGAAAAAGAGGAATAAACTCTAAAGTCATCACAGGAAAAAATAAATATTTGGAACCTTTGAAAATATAAGTTCCTCAATTCAAAGCCTTCCCACTCAGATTAATAACCAAAGTTCTTATGAGGCCCACCCAGACCCTTCCTGCTCTCAGCATCTCCACCTTCAAGATACTGTCACCTCTCCCACCTCATGTGCTCACTTTCACCCTCGCTGGCTCTACTCTGGCCACAATGGGCTCCTTGCTGATCCTTGACCATGCCAGGCTTGTTCCTTCTTCAAGACCTTTGCACTGGCTCTTTCCCCTTCTTGGAATCCTCTTTTTCCAGGACTCCATATTCCGAACTCTCTCACCTCCTTTAAGTCCTTACTTAAATGTCGTTCTC